GATTCCAGTCACGATTTGGAAAATAATTCTTTTGATTTAGGATTTGAATCTCAATTTGATAATCATATCATGCAAACGGTTGAATAGAATACAGAACAAAGGAATTCACAACTTACAAATGTGTATTTAAATCTAAATAAGCTGTCATAACCTTTTTTTCTTCATAGGTGGGAGGGGGAATACGTGTCTTTTCTCTTTTTTATTTGTAAAACAAATTACCAAATGTAGATTTTCTTTATTCACTATGACAGATGTAATTTTCAACAAGGAAGAAGATGTCATTTCTCCCGCAAATGATGTCATTGATGGTCCGCTGTGTTTCTATGATGTGCTTGCTGATTACTTTGTCCATGTGCCTGAAAGTGGGAAGCCCGTCCTTGACTTGATTGTCCAACTTTGGAGCCAGTCATTTGCTTCGCATATTTTTAGCCTCTTGTTTCATAAATGGGTATGTAAGCTTGTCTCTGCCATGTCTTTTGCTCCACTGAGGGGAGTTTTACTTAGTTTGATAGTATTAATATGGTCCTTCGTTTCTGGTTTTCAATTTGAACATTTACAATTAAAAAAAAAGTGAGTTGCTCTTAATGGCAATTATGACATGGTTACATTTTGACAAATATGAACATCCTCAGATTGAGGAATGATATTCTGAGGCATGCACAATGTCTCTGAACCTGGTTATGTCTATATATGAAGTAGCTCACAACTCCCTTTTTCTCTTAGCTGGTTATAGAGTGGTTGGCAATTCCCCATTTCACTTGACTCACAATATGTATAACCTTTTGATATATATCCCGTGTCTGATTCATGTTCTACCATTTCTTGTTTATTCAAAATTTGAAATGCTTATAAGTATTTAGAATCTTCATCACCGGTTTCTAAAATTCATGCTTTTCTTGATATTGGTCCAAAATTTCTCTGTCTACTATAGAAACTATTTTGTCTAATGCTTGAAATAGGTTTCAGATTTAAACCTTAGGAACCCAGTGCATACTATTGTAAATATGTAGTGTGTAAGATAAGTGACATATATTGTATAATTATTTCATTTTCATAATTTGAGTGACTCAATATGTATGTATGATACTATTAAATGAGATGAGTGCTGAGCTGAGATTATATATTTTAGTTAATCATGAACCAATGCATATTACATATTTTTAAATTTTGGGCCAAACATGATTTAAAGCTGGCTATGAGAATTGTGTTTTTACTTTTTACATAGTACTGGTTTGAGATGGGATGTCTTTTTTGCCTCTTGGGTATATTTCATTTCTGTTATTTCCCTTCTGTTTTTGAGGGGTTGCAGAAGCTTTCCTCTGTTGCAACTTGTAAGGAGTCAATCTCCAAATTCCTATTTTATAATTGACATTCAAGAATCACTGTAAAAGCTCTTTTATTTAGTCCTAATTGGGGTATATCGTAATATATATTTCCAGTAGCTTCCTGTTTTGTTGTAAATAACTTTCTAGTACCATAATGCAGATGTTTGAAGTTCATCTTGATAATCCAGAAGTGCTCCTTCGGTATTCATCTGCCCTGGTTCAAGGTGCCACAAATGTTTTCTGGTATGAATACAAGCTGTTACAAATTAAAATGTTACTTAATTGGAGTTAACTTGCCAAAAGACCTGGTGGATTTGGATTGACTGGCATTTATAAGTTAAAATTATATTCACTTTCAATTTTCAAAAAACATCCTCTGAAAAGATATGAACTTCATTTCGTTCTCCACTCTACTCCTAAATGGAGATAAGAAGAATATGTGTGGACTCTCTTTATCGTTCTTCATTAAGAAAAAATTGTTTGTGTTACATGATTTTATCAATAGTCTTTCTATGCCAAATCAATAGAAATCCATTGGACCTTATCTTATCCATTAAAACAAAACAAAAAGTAATGGCAATTTTGGAAAATGTTAGTAAGAATGTCTTCAAGGGCTAGAACCTCTACTATAATAGAGTGGATATTGTACCATATTTGGAAAATCAATCCGAGAATTGCAAATATCATTTTTGGTGCCATGTACAGGATTGACATTCAGACAAATACAAAGCGTTTCCGGTCTATATTCCGAGTAAGGGTTCTAGTTGGATCCTGTATTTATTTTAACTAATATGTATCAACTGAATAATATTATAATTATTGCTTTTTTTCCCAATTCCTTTGCATATCCCATGTGTTCCCCTCAAATTCAGTACCTCTTGGATGATGTTGCATTACACCACAGTAGATTGAATAAGATTCCTCTCCAGGTATACCCTATCAGTTTTAGTTTTTGGCATTTTATAAATGCGGCCTACAGTTGTTTATAGACCTATAGCTAGTCTACTTTTGTTGCTAGTAATGGAATTCTGAAATTCCTTACATTTCATTAAACTATCAGGCTCAGCGAGATATGTATCTTTTGCTCTCAAGGTTCATTCTATTTTACAATTCAGGTAGCCTTCAGAAAAGTTATTAGCCAATAAATAGTGATGCAATAGTCTTTATAAATCTAATAGTACCCTCTTTGCAGCTGGCAAAATCGATAGCTTCTTGAAACAATGCCCTGTTTTTCAAACTGCCTTCTTAGTTGGTAGTCCTGCAGATATATTTGTGAATGAACTCACGGATCAGGTACATCTGAATCACCTTTTTTCACACTTGAAAGCCATATCCTCTGTTTCATATAAAGAAATTATGTTACCAACCCGAATTTTTCTTAACAGCTTCAAAAGCTTAAGGTGGAACCTGTACTGCTGCATTATCTTTCAGAAATCAAGGTCCTTCAGGGTACTACACCAACCATTCAGGTGCAATAGTTGGACATGGAATATTCTTCTCTCAACCTGACTCAGCTAAGTCATTCTTTTGTTTATGTTTTTTGCACAGGTTTGGAATTGAGAATGACGACAAGTACGAGATTGAAAACTTGTTTGTATAGTTTTACTTCTCCTGGTGGTCCAATGTACCCGACCAGAGCCGTTCGTCATGCTGCCTGGGAAGCACTAGATTTTCTTTTTCCGGTTAGTATTATTGCTTAATAATTAATATTCAAACCAAACTATAACAAATTGCAAGAGCTTCGTCCTCTCCAGCCCTAAGTAACATTTTTTTCACATAAAATATTTCAAGGTCCCATCATTGTTAAATACTTGACTTCTATTAGAAGACTTTTAAGTTTTTATAGGTGGGATTATATGCCTATTAAATTGTTTAAATTTCAAATAGATGAAGGGAAACATTGATGGGTTTTTTAAATGACTTCATAGAATCTGCACACAGATGATGTATTTTCTCTTTTAGCTTTTCAACTTATTTCTGAAAGGGCAGATTGTTTATGTATATGCCATATAGTTCATAGTTAAGATCGCAACATAGCACTACTGATAAACAAGTGTAACACCTTAATTCATAAGCATGAGCTTCATGCATGCACCAGGTACTTGTCCTTTAAATATATATTAATGTTGTTTTTCTGCTATGATGCAGGTCGGGCAATACCCTCGGCATCTCATAAGTCTGTTCTTCAGGTTGCTCTATCCATGGTATTGGCCATCCTCTTGTTGGAACTTTGTGGTATCGTGCATTCAGGCTATCTTTTACTCCTTACTGTGGTTGATGTTTTCTACTTGGGAAAAAATTGCCAAACCAAAAACACAATAAATGTCTATATGTCCCGCTGGTATTGGAGTACACGCATAGAACCCGGTCATCTCTTGCCAACCAGCATGAGTGCATAGAACCCGGTCATCTCTTGCCAACCAGCATGAGTGCCTTACTTCTTGACCCTCTGATATTTCTGTTTTTCACCAAATGTAATGTGTATAAAACAAGCTTGTTAGTGCAATGTATATTTTGTTCAATTTGTTCACTATGGCTTATAATAGGTTTACAAATCCAAGTACGTTGAAAAACCACTGAAAACAACCTAAACAAGGAAAAACCACTGAAAACAACTAAACAAGGAACCACGATTCATACACTATTCTACAGTTTTAGGAGAGTAAGATTGTGTATGATTTTAAATGTTTTACAAGAGTAAGATTGTGTATGATTTTAAGATTGTACATTTGTTATTTGCCATAGCTACCGTGTGACTTTGGTCTCCATAGTTGTGAATGACTTTAAGCTACCGTGTGACTTTGGTCTCCATAGTTGTGAATGACTCTAGTTGTGAATGACTTTAAGCTACCGTGTGACTTTGGTCTCCATAGTTGTGAATGACTTTAATCTTCTGATTTTTTTCTCATGACTGTTGATTTTTTTCCACCGCTTTCCTTCTAACTTGAACTCAATGACTTTAAATTAGATTCTTTTTCCCACTACTTTTCTTCTACCCTGTAATCAATTACTGCCTATAATTTTTAGTATTATAAATTTCTTTAATTTAAAAAGGGCTAATTAATTATCTATATATGGAAGTGTATAACATTAATTAATTAATGTAGCCCTTTTCATTTGGACTTCAATTTAAGTAACCTTCATTACAAGTTCATGATTAGATCCTCTCCGTCATTTCAGTTTGTTCAGAAAAGAATCACGAATGTGAAGTGTGTGAATCCCTCAAAAGTAATGGAAAACCTACTATACTGTCTCTTCAATTGAGAACTGCGAATAGGTCCAATAAGATATGTTAAGACAGTTTTTCAATTCATTTTCTTATATGCTTAAATCTAGTAAAATATATTCTCAGCAGTGTATTTTCTGCTAAAATACAGAAAATTCGATGTTACATTAGATAGAACTACAAATATGTTTGCATACAAGAATAAACTTACAAGGACATTATAACATCGCACAGAATTTCAAATAGAGCCTCTATGGTTAGTGATTGTAAATTTGTCTTTCAAGTCAAGGAGCTTCAACTCAAACCATTCACACATAATACAAAAAAACAGTAGTAAAATTGCATTTGTTGTAAAAAGAAAAACAAAGAAAACTGAATCAGAGTCTCAAATTAGAGTTTGAATTTATTGTAGCTATGGGAGTTTTGTGAATTGTTTGATAAACTTGTAGTCACCCTTTGTGCGCATAACCCACTCGAATGCGTCTACCGTCCACTATCTGTGAAACTAATTATTAAGAACAGAACAAGATTCATAACATATCACAATGTAAAAACAAAAACAAAAGCAAAATTTGTAGCAAAAGTACCTTTCCGTGCAATTCTTTGCGAGCTATGGCAGCTGCAGTTTCAGAATTGAACCTAACAAATCCGTACTCTTTTGATTCTCCAGTTTTGTGGTCACATATTACTTTAACTACACAAAAACATTAATCAGTTGTAACATAACAAATTTAAGGTTCTAAAAAATTATTGCTAGTTTCACCTTCAATGATTTCCCCATGTTGTTTAAATGTGTCTCTTAGGACCGTTTCATTGGTGTTATAGGAAAGCCCTTTGTTCCAAACAAAACCAAAAATTAAATTCGAAAACTGGAATCAACTTACACGATAATTTTATAACAAAAAAAAAGAAAAAGAAATGACACGAATTGGAGACGAGGAAACCTGCAACGAACAATTTGGTTGATGAATGATGGCGCACGCGAATAAACAATTGAGGTAAAGGTAAGGCTGAACATTGGAGAATGGCGGTGGCTGTGCGCATAACTACGAATCAACTCAATTTTCTATTGAATTGATTCAACCAATTGCTTGATAATGAAAACAATGTATAGAATCTTACAAACAACACTTGGATAAAAGTATATTTCACCCAATCTTAGTTATAAACGAAAAAATGAGTTGTAGGGATGGTTGAGATAAGCCATCATAAAAAATAATGCATATATTTCTTTTGGGTTAAATGTTTTTTATTTTGAAAATAGTACTGAATTTTGATTTATCCTCTTTTTAAATAAAAAATTTTCTTTTTTTTTAAACAAATCAAGATTTCCTCCAATTTGATCCGTCAAAATTTCAGCTGAATCTGCATAGCGTTTGACGTGATTTTTAATTTTTTTTTTTAAAATTTCACGTGAAAATTCAACTATTTTTTATTTTTTATTTTCTCTCATTTAGATAAGTTTATTGTTTTGTTTTATTTATCCCATATTAGTTTGATATATTAATTTTTTGTGATTTCATTTTTTTGATAGGTACTTAATTTTGTGTGGTAGATTAATTTGATATACAAAATAAAAAATATATAATAGAGCTGTAAAAAAATACTATTATTTTTATTAAATTAACTTTATTAAATGATTAATTAATATTATTATTTTTATTATATCCTTAAATATAAATATTATTTTACTATTTATTCAATTATTAATTTTAAAAAAAATATTTTTAATAAAAATTAATTTTATAAAGTAACTCATAATTTTAATTTATTTTGACTAATAAATCTTGTAACAAAGAACTTGAAATCGTTGTCTTAAAGAAAAATTATGAGTTGTTTAATAAAATTAATTTTTATTAAAAATATTAGAAAAAAATAATTAATTAATAATTAATAATTAAACAAATAGTAAATTAATATTTATATTTAAAGATATAATAAAAATAATAATATTAATCAATCATATAATAAGATTAATTTAATAAAAATAATAGTGTTTATTTACAACTCTATTATATATTTTTTATTTTGTGTATCAAATTAATGTACCACACAAAATTAAATACCTATCGAAAAAATTAAGTAACATATAAATTTATGTATCAAATTAATATGAGATAAATAAAACAAAACAATAAACTTGTTCAAGTGGGAGAAAATAAAAAATTAAAAAAAAGTATAAAAAAATAGTCGAATTTTCATGTAGAATTTAAAAAAATATATAAAAAAAGACACGTCAAGCGCCACGTATGCAGATTTTGCTGAAATCTTGACCCAATGTCAAATTGAAGGGAATCGTGATTTGTTTAGGGGCAAAAAGATTTTTTTTAAAAGGAGAGTAAATCAAAACTCACTACTATTGCAGGAGGGTAAAAGACACTTAATCCTATTTATTTTTTTGAAATTTTTTATGCAATAATCATATTTTTTAAATTAATTACATAAATAACTAATTTTTCAAAATATTTACGTAAATAATCATGTTTGAAATCGTAAGACAGTGTTGACGCTATTTCAGATAGCGTCTATATGTCAAAATAAGGTGAACACGTCATGGGAAATGGCGGCTATATGCATAAGAAAAATAAGGTGCCACCTCAGGTGTTTCTTATGTGTAATGTGTCTGAAAAGGAGCCATACAGAATGACTCTTATATGTTATGGTATTTTCTATAAAAAAAACTTTATCCTCCACTATTTTTCACACAACCTCTTCTCACCTTCCCTATAATTTCTTCTTCATGACATGTGAAATGATTTTCAAAAGAGATGAGTATGTTTGTTTCTCTCCTGTTAAACCCTCAATTAAAATAAAATTTTGGAACATCCATTTCATGAAGCGTCTTAAGAGAGAGTTGAGTTGATGGTTAGACGGAGACATCCAAAATAGGGAAGTCATTAGAAGAATTCAGTGACAAAGAACGATCATCTCATTTGCGACCGAAAAACTTCAACGTTGGTGGGAAGATGTAAAAAATGACAGGAACGTAATGGTGGTGATGCATGGATCAGATGAAATTGTTTTGATAATTATAATTTCTTAGATATTTTAACGTGTTAACTAATTGTAATCGTTATATGCGTTCGATTTGTTGTAACTAACATGCTCAGTCTTGTTTGCGTTTGTGTAGTTGTACAAATATGTTTAAGAAGTGAATAAAATTTAGTTGACTTCAAAAAATATATTACAACGAGTGCATATAATTATTAGGTTACCGAGATAGTTCCACGATTGGGATAATTATTTCGATTGTGTTCGACCTGATGATATATACTACACTTCTTTTCCATTTTATCAGCTGCATCCATTTTGGTTCTAATACGCACATTGTTGGGGCGATCCTTCTTCTTTCTTCTCATTATGTCATTGTGTCAAACTACTTCCCCTTCATACGCAAGCTAGTAATCCTCTTTTGCTATCTGTAATACAGTGGGAGAACTGATTTGAGTGTTTTGCGTAAGTTTGAAAATATTTTGAAAACGCCTTTGTTCGGTAAACTTTGTAATGATTCTCGTATCGTTGAGAATGTATACAAAGTGTTGATTTTGAAAATATTTGTTGAAAGGGAATATTTTGGAAAGATGTTTTGAAAATGTCAATGTAAGGCAATTTTGGAATGAGTCTCATATCGTTGAGAATGTATACAAAATGTTTGTTTTGAAAAGGGTTTTGAAATTGTGAAGTGTGGAAATGGTTTTGTTTGTGAGCAAGCAATTACAAGAAATCTACCTACTCAAAAAAGTCTTTGTTTTTTTCCTCCTCTTTTAGATAGTTCTACTTTTATCATTGGTTGGTAGGGAGCTATATCATTGGATGTGAGAGATAGGCGTGAGTCATCGTACAGTCATAGAAGGTAACTTGTAAGATGTTTTAGTAATTGTCGTAAGAGACTAAGATCATTTACCGAAGGCAACATTGAAGGGTCATCGAGGGACTATGATATTTTAATCGAGGGTATATGCTAAAACATGCCACGTTCGAGGGACATGACTGTTTTCATCTGAGGCAACAAATGTGGGTTACCTTAGAGGTGCATGTGTGTAAAGTGTATTGATTTCAAGTATTTTATCTATGAATTAGGGCTTTAGGTTTGATTTTAAGTCTTGTCATGCAAACCCTAATTACTAGCAATAATAAGAAAAGCGATAAATTGCAGAATTTAAATGTCCTACGCTATTACAATGCTTTGAGAATGGGGGTACAAATTTATAAATGAGGGGAGAAAAGCAATAAAGCCTAAGTATCTATTACAAACCATTGAATATGAATAATAATAATAATAGAGTGTACAAAATGTGAAGAAGAAGAAGGAAACTATTTTTAGGGTTTTTTGATGAAAAAAGTTTTATAATTAACCTAATTAAACTAATTAATTTTAATTATAAAAAGAGGTTAATTAATTATTTAATCAAAATCTAAAATCTAAGTTAATTTGAAATTAAGAAGAAATTAAAACCTAAGTCTAAATAATTGTTTAGAAAATAATTTGAATATTAATGTTAATTTAGAAAAATATTTTAAAGTGTGGAAAATAAACATAATCTAGTTCTAAATATTGACAACAATAAAAGGAGTGTTTAAATTAAAATATTTAATAATTTAATTATTTAAGAAAATATATTTTTGGTATTTTTTGGTTAAATAAATAAATAAACAAATAAAATAGAAAAAATATAAAGAATATAAAAAGCATTGGGCTGAGATGTTGAAAAGTGAAATGGAGGTTAAAAATAGCAAACGGGCCCCAAACAGTTTTTTGTTTGAGTCATAAAACAAAAAACAAAAATGAAATAAAAGATAAATGGACCTGCGTTGCTATGTGTGATTGTGGGTGTGTATGGAAAAAATAAGTCAAGACCCAAAATGAAAAGTCTAACGCCTGGGAGATTCAGTGTGATTGCATTTTAAAAGTGTATCATGGACATCCATCTTTAGGCGCTTGATTTGAATTTATGATGATCATATGGTGAGATAATGAGGAACACCATGCGCTTCCTGGACTTGTCTGCATATAATCTCATAGAAGCAAATATGAAAGGAATAAAAGGATACCACTAAGGCTCAAACCCAGGTCCATATATACTAATGCCTTACCCACGCTTCCCCTGTCACTAGGGTGACTGTTTTATCCGATCATAATACCACTTGCAATAAACTTAAAATAAACTCATTTCTAAAATTTGAAAATGACTTCAGCTTCAACCTTGCGCGTGCAGAGATGAACATTACCATGGCCAAAACTGTAACTTCTTCATTTCTCAACCATTTTCAAAATTGTAAACATGAAAGTTGTTCCATTTTTCACCATGAATTCAACCATATAAATAACTAAAGTTATAAATCAAAGATGAACATGAATTTTGTTTGGTACCAAATAAAACCTATTTTTTCCAGAAAGTTCAACTTCAAAATTCGCATCACCCAGGCAACATAAATGAAAACTAAAGGCATGGTTAGCTTCAGAGAAATGATGCCTATATTTTTCATTCACAAAGTAACCATTAATGATGCTTGTATAGAGAGTTCAAAGTTGAGAAAACTTATCTCAAAATTGGAAATCGTGTTTGGAGTTTGAGCACTCCTGGAGGTGTTGTGATAATCTGGGTAGCTTCACTGAACTCCTAGGAAGCTAATGCGACTCTTACTTTATGCTGAAAGTGCCTGAATCTTCCTGGAGAAGTCAAGTTGTAGGTGACTATTTTTGAGTTTGGAAGATGATGAAAATGGAGTTACAGCTATGAAACAGGGGTGGGGCTGAGTTGTAAATGAGGTATGGAAGTTTTGTGATTGATTTAGAGTGAAAACGCACAAGTGGATTGTGAGTTTAAATTTTTTGGCCAGAAGTTGCAACAATGAAGGTTTCGTGTATAATTCTGAGTTTCAAGGAGTTTGTGAGTGTTTCAAGGCTTGTAAAATCCCGTTTTAGCTTTCAAATAACCTCTCTATTTATAGAGGAAAGATTTGAGGGAAGGAGAATATCATATTCAAGAGATCACATGTTATGGTTTTGAAACTTGTTTTTGAAGCAAACTTGAAATACATAG